AGAGGACACTTGACTGCAACATACCTACCTCTAGCTACACTCGGCGGTGGGTGCAAACAAATGACTGATGATGTGCTCACGAGAAATGGCACTTAACCGAGGTTTTAACTGCGGCCATACCTATAGCATCATCGCACACGTTCAAACATTCCAATGTGCGCAGTGTCTGTCTGTCCTTGATACTAAGCTCGTACATCCTTTGAACACCTAGGACGAAGGACATTAGTCATTATCCCATTGCACTTAAGAAGGAAGGACGAGTGAGACTTTTACTGTCATTTTTTTTTTCTTTTTTCCCTCAAGGCCATTGAGTGAAGTTCACCTACCCCGGACTAATCTTTGACGTGAGTAAACGGGGTTTCACAACATCACTGCTTCTTGACATGCTGTGCAATGCGAACAGGACTCGTAGCATGTATTATGCAGGTATTCTGTGAGAGGGAGCACAGGTTATCAAGAGCCGCAAGCCAAGTTGTTTGAAATTCGAGTCGCACATAGAACTATTGGTGTTCACTTACCTCTATTGTAAGTACACCTACCGTCAATATAGGGACTTCCACGTGGGTAATTTACTGCATGAATAACGAAGCCTCGATTCTACTAATATTGCAGTGAGGTCATCAACTGGAAAAGTTAGGTAGTAGAGTGGTAACTAGCATTCAGGACGGTTACATCCATGCAGATGAGTTCAAACATCCGTTTAAAAGTTTAACCGATTCGTGGAAACATTGCCTACCCTCCAGTCCCTCGAGGAAAGATCATCACTCACAAAAAGGCTTTCAACTACCTGATCTATACGAGGAAAAGAAAAAAGAAGAAAGGATCCGACGGTGATCAGGGTAGCAAAGAGACCATGCTCGCATATCAATCCCATCGATGTGTAATTATTTATCCTTCAAATGCCACGCACGACCTTTAGATAAGAGTGATGACGCAAAAGTACCTACCTCTAGGTAGTTACCTCTAGGACTTCGAAAAAGGTAGGTACGCTACATGTAGTGGTCTACCACATTTCTTTGTCCTTTGGTTCCTGTTTTTACCTTCCATCCAGATGTAGATATGTCGCAACACCACCGCACTATGTCGCATCCAAAGTTCCATTACATCCGAGACACACACACACTCTCTCTCTCTCTATTATCCCGCGCTCGCTACTACCTACGTATAGTGCCTATCTCCCGTTGCGGTATGGCGATTGGTCAATACACCACCACCCCCCTGTGCCCCTGTTGGTGAGATCGATAAAGTGCCATGCAGAAGGATCTCGCTTGGCAAGCCTCACTTCCGAACATAAACTCCGACATGAGGTTCTACTAGGTTCTAGGGTACTCGTATCCCGTACCGTTGTCATGCGCGAATTGTGATTGTGGTGAAGGAGGGTGTCGGTCATAACGGAGTGTCAGTATCTGAAGAAAAGAATAAAATAAAAAAAGAGGCCGAGAGCACATCTTCTACGTGAGAATGGAGGGGTTGATGGAAGCATGCGTGCCACATTACTAGGTATAGGTAGGTACCTTTGCCCAACTGGTATCATCATTATTAGATAGAGGTAGTTTGTTAAGCAGCAGCCTCTGCTTGGGTATTCAACTCATAGTCATCATCATCGTCTAGAGGTATTATTTGTGTATCCCCTCCACTTCTGATATCGATTGATGGTCGGTGGCTGCTGTGCAGCATTAACCGAACCCTCTAAATAGGCCACCATTCCCCATTCCAGCCATTCCTTTATTCCCATGGATCGGCACTTTTAGGGCTTCCATCGGAAACCAGGGTGCTTGTAATCCAGATCTTGGATCTCTTGCTGTGACATGCCCGTTAGCTCCTCCTCGGCGTTGCGCAGCTCGCGCTTGGTGTTATCCCTCTTCATCCAGATAAGCAAGCAAAGGGCAATAACGAGGGTGCCGCCGGACGCAGCAAGATTGACGCCGTTGCCGATGTGGTACTTGGGGGCATCGAAGGGCAAGAAACTCCAGGTGGCGACAAGACCACCAACGTTGCCCAACATGACTAAAGGTAAGGAAGTAAACCGATTAGCGTTCCACTGCAAGAAGAGAAAAGGTTGTGGTGGGAGCAGATGAGTGTCATGTGGGAGCTTTACCATTGTAAGCGATAGCGCTACTCCTTGCAGTATCGGAGACGACATTGGCGCTAACTTGGGAGTTGGTCAAGGGACCAGCGGCAAAGACAGAAGTGCTGACGAGGAAGGCGGCACCGTATCGGATGTGTGCGTTTTCGGTAGCCAGGAACATAATGTAACCGACCATCACAAGTGGGCAACAGGCGATAATAATAATCTGGCGGCGATCCAACCAGCGGCTAATGAGAGGCATCAGGATGGTGAAGAAGCCGCCAACGACGTAAGGCGGAACAGTTAACAGCTGCTTCTCAATGATGCTCTTGGTCGGGTAGATGGTAGCGACGACGGTAGGGGCGAAGAATGCGAGACCTTGAACGGTGATGTTGTTGAGGAGGAAGGCGAAGCCGGTAAAGAAGACGACGGGGTTAAAGATACCGCGCTTGAGCTTCTTGGCGTCCATCTTGTCAATAATCTCGGTTTGACCAATACGTTCCGACTTTACACGGGCAATTGCCAAGTCCTTCTCTTCCTGGCTGAGCCATTTGGCGGTCGCGGGGTGGTCGGTGAGAGTAAGGAAACCGATGAGGGACAGTCCAACAGTAATGATGCCCTCAATACCGAAGATCATTCTCCATCCACGAAGACTACCGAAGTGGTCGAGTTTGAGAATTCCAGACGCCAACAGGCCACCGAAAGCGCCGGCCAGAGGGGACATGACGATGTACAGCGATAGACGTAGAGTGAGCTCGGATCGACGGTACCAGCGGGAAAGATAGTAGGCAATTCCGGGCAGCATGCCAGCCTCGAAGACCCCAAGAAGAAAACGAACACCGCAAGCCTGGGAGAAGTTGTGGACGAATGCCATACAGACAGACATGATCCCAAAACCAAGCGAGGTCAGAGGGAGAAACCATCCTGGGCCCATCCATTTGCACGCGATGTTTGCTGGAATCTCGAAGACGATGTAACCGACGTAAAAGATTGATAGCAGGGTATTGTAGTCGTATCCGTGTAGGTCCAGATCCTTCTCTAATTTGTCTAGCCTCGCATTTCCTGCAGTCCACTATCGTAAGCCCTGTGCCTTTCATCAATCTGGCCAGTGGTCGCGTCGCTCACCAATATTGGCTCTATCAATGAAGCAGAATAAGTAAAGGATTGCAACCGTCGGGACGATATAGAGATCGATTTTCCGTCGCAGCTTGGTCTCTGCCACTGGATCGAGTTCAACGAGAGGGTTGCCGTGACTGTTGGGTGAAGGTCAGCAGGATGAATGAGGAAACTGAGTAAGGTATCAAACCGACTGGAAGTAAGCGACTTACATGTCAGTTGCGGCCTGGCCCCGTTCGGCGCGGTAGCGCGCCCCTGGAGCATTTTCAAAATAGCCTTCCTTGGTGTCAGACTCGGACAAAGACTGCCTCCTCTTTTCCGAGGTCATTGTTTCCGACACTCCGGCGGCCATTGTGATGGCTGCTGTAATGTCGACGAGGAGAAGCTGGCTCTGTTGCTGGAAAAGAAAAGCTGATAACCTGATGGGTGGAAGATGAGACACTCAAACGGTGACCTCGTGTGAGCGAGGTCGGTGGTGGATGAGTAGTAGGCGACAAGAAGGAGAGGTGGTGAGGTGAAGATTGTAGGAAGGGATTATGAACAAAGAACAATGTAGGGTGGCTGAGGCTAGGGAGGGCGGACGTAAGTAGGTAATGTACTTGTAGGTTACATGTAGATGCATGAAGGAACTACCGACATGGACAGTAGGAAGGGTTTATCGGTGACAGTCAAAAAAAAAGAGAAATCCTTCGCCGATCACTACCAGGCTGACTAGACTGAGGTTGAGGTGTGCCTGCAAGCCAAGCTGGAGGGTCCCAGACCTATCATTATTCACGGTGACACGACCGACATCGTAATGGTGGTGTACATTTGCATGAAGAGTACCAGGTAAACGAAGCATCCAGGTTCCCCCCTCTCGTTCTCCGCTGTTCATCAATTGCCAAGTCTCGGATTCCAAATCATGGCCCGGTGTGGACGTGAGATTGACCAAACAAACGGCAATATTCCTCTGCTTGGCTCACACCCATGGTTCTCGTTTCCCGTCCCCCGCATGGCAATTGCACCAAGGGCAAGTTGGAGATCTGGCAGGAGGGTGCCTCAAGCAAACACCGTTGATAAGATTCAAGAAGTCAAGCTTGACCAATAAAAGCGGTCATGGTTGTAGGTTTATCCAGGGTTCCCCAAAGCTTCAGTGTCATGATACGGGCCTGGCCGTGAAGGGGGTCCACTACCCCATGGGGAGGGCGAGTGTCAAATCCACAAAATCTCCAGTGGCCCGCTACTTGACCCCAGCAACCGTTTGGCACAAGAATATCTCTCCAAAACTCCCATAGCCCCGGGCAAAGAAACAGGCTAATGATGAGCTTGCCGGAGCGTTATTCTCTTTTGGTTAGCGCCATTGAGATTGGTAGTAGTGGTGGACGAGTAAATCGGCTTTCTTGTAAAGTTGGAGAGCGGGCCACTCCCCATTTCTGCTTCCCCAGAAACTTGGCGCCGCTTGGTTTCCCCGCATCCTCTCGAGCCTCCTCGGGCATCGACGGACCAGGGCTCGACCACGTTTCCTCACTCAGCACGTTTTCATGATCAGAAGACAAAACTAAACAGAGTGTTGAACTCCACTGCCAACGATCCAGCATAGCCGTAAATCTAGTGCCAAGAGCCTTTCTTGGGTTCTCCCGAGCTCATGTGACTTTTCGCAGCTGCGTCCATCATCGGGATCCCCAACTTCGAGGTGCCTCGGCCTGCTCCATCTCGCACACCAGCCTAGAGCTTTAACTAGCCCGGTAGCGTGTATTGGTCGGTAGGTCAGAATAGGTAGTGCCCGGCAGCAAGAAGAAAAGGGGTGAGGCTGAAGACAACCACCACTGGAACACCTTTACTTATTCACAACAGAGGTTCCCTTGCCCGCTGTCATAACTGACCTAAGCCTCTTGAGATGACACTTATGGATGCTGAAAAGCCATCTTGATGGTACACTTGCCCTCCTCTGGAAAAAAATGCGTCTCTGCATAGCTCACTGGAGCTTCGCTGTTCGTGATGGCGATTTGCCCCTTTTCCGGGTTGGCTGGCATCGCAGAGAGCGGACTATGTGCATTGAGTTTTTCCTTGCGGCTGGGCCGAGGACATTTGCCGTCGTGGATCCTGCTTTTGCTTGGACAGTAACTCCAGAAATCTGGACTGATCCCCAGTCCAATGTCACATCCAGCTTGGATCGTATTAGGATCTTAGCCAACACGAACGCTATGCACGTAGTGCGAGACCCGACCAAGCCGAGGATGCGACAGCCAATGATGGCATTGCCGGATTGTGCGAGGGATAAATCTTTAAGCATAACTTTGCCCCTTTTCTTGTAGTCATAGTCGTGGCTGACAAGGTATTTGATCGAGCTGGCCAGCCTCAACATTTTGGGAGTCATGGAGACGGAAGCCTCTTGGAATATGCTCAAGTCGATTTCCTTAGCCTAGTATCGAAAAGGTTCAAGTCAAGGCCTCGGCGAGCAAAATGAGTCCGAATCTAACCGTTCACTCTCACCCCCGTCGCTGGAGGTCACTCTGAGAGGGGAAAGGGGGCGAGAACTCAATTGCTGCTTGACAACCAAAGGAAGACAGCAATTCAGTGACGAGACTTCTGGAGATCCGATTGTGGTATTCCGGATTGCCTGATACGAAGGTCAGAGATAGCGATTGTTGACAGAGACCGACTGGGTGATGATATCCGCCCATGCCGACTGTTTCTCAAAAGACACTCAGCTCCTTTTCCAACGACATCAAACTACTTGTCCTCTTGGTCAAGCTGTAACATTGAGTATATCGTGACAATGGTCATCGCCGTCTCTTTTCCATGTTGGAACGTTAAGGAACACGATCGTTGCTGGATTGCGCCTGCTCTTGTACATCGACGTAGACGACTGAGAACCTTTTCTGGATGCCGGTTGTAAATCATAGTACCCGGACTGAGAGAAGTAAAATCAGGGCGGCATATTTGCGCGGTTCTGCACATTACCGACTTGCCAATCTTGAAGGTTCCTGGTTACACAGCATCAGTCAACACAGTCGTTACACAACTTGAGGTGAAGACAAGATGACACTGCAGTATCGCAAACGCGGCAGTGGTGCAGGCAATCTGCCCCTGGCAAGACTCGCGAGGCCAAAGAAGACAACTGACGAGGCCTCGGAACTCAACTCCGAGTATCAGGCTGTGTTGTAAGTGGATGCCAGAATCTTAGTAGGTAGTAGTACTCATCCCAGTCGTTCAGAATAGGCCGTGGTGTCTTTGGTGTTTCTAGCGAGACTCTCCGATGACGGCAGCCAATGCTAACGGAGGCTTACACGATGATTCGAAAGAGCGATGATGAATATCCAGAGGCGTAGATGAAGATGGATGACGTTGATGGACCAAGTTGAAGTTGTGAGAAGGAGAAACTTGAGAGATTCTGATGTTGAAAAGACATCATCCATGTCTTTAGTTGGCTCCGCTCTTGCAAATCCGGGGTTAAAGTGGGGTGTTGGTGGGGCTTCCCGCGGCCTTATCGTCCCTTATCGTGAGACTGGCGGGGGAAGAGGGAGGGGAACCGTAGGGGCTCCCCCGTCTCTGGCGGTGCTAGGTCGGTACAGTATCCCTCAGCCCCTGAAGCTCGCTGTTTGTCTCCGGCTGTTTTGAAACAGGGCATCTACCATAGAGGTACTTTTCCTCTCCTTTCACGGCTTCGATCCCCCAGCGAGCCCGTCGACGGGGGTGACACCCAGGTGTTACACTGGACCTACACGCAGTACCTACCGCAGGCTTTGGCTCAGTTGGTTCCATGGCAGGACCTCGTGCTTCCCGTCACCTGGCTCACCGAAATCACTTGTCTAGTGTAAGCCTTAACTGCGGTAAGGTAGCCTTGCATCGACGGGGTTTCCACATCTGCACCGCTTGCTGATGGAGACTTGCGTTGGCTTATTCACAGCCTATTACCTCATTCATCATACGAACATCTGAAGCAGCTACACAAACACCTGCTTCTCCGATGCACCTCGTCTCCTCTTCCTTGTCATCCAAATAGAGCAACTTTTCTACTTGGTCACCTCGACCTCGAATTGAACGGTTCTTTGTTTCCTTCTCACTGCTCGTTCTGTGAAGACGTAAAAAGTCCTTTGACCGCTCAAGTATCGAGCCCCGACTTCGATTCATCGCCAACGAGACAACGTTCTGGTATTTTCACGAATTCGCGTGTCCCGGTATCACCGGGAATCAAGGCTGCTGTCAACATGTTCGACATCTTGCCCAACCTTCTCTCGTATGTCAAGTCCTCCAAGCACGGCTTTGCGCTGGGCAGGCAGCTTCGTGTTGCTCGCCATGCGCTGCCCCGCCGCCTTACCGTTTGATGTTTCCATCAACTAACACAAGCTGTATCGCGACACAGCTCTGTCGCCTCCTTCCTCTTTCCCGTTTACGCCAGTTACAAAGCTCTCAGGAGTTCAGATCCGGCCCAGTTGACACCATGGCTTATGTACTGGGTCGTCATCTCCTTCGTTGTCCTCGTTGAATCGTGGGTTGGTTGGTTCTTGGTGTGGTAAGTTCGATTCGATGGAAGCATCATCTACCCACCGACAGCCATTTCAGCAACAATACTGACATGACCCTTTTGCGCTACGCTAGGGTCCCCTTCTACGCCTTCATGCGCTTTGTCTTCCTCCTCTACCTAGTCCTCCCCCAGACCCAGGGCGCCCGCGTCATCTACCAGACCCACATCGAGCCCTGGCTGGAGGCCAACGAAGGACAAATCGAGGACTTCATCGCCTCGGCTCACGAGCGTCTCAAGGCCGCCGGCCTCGCCTACCTCAAGCAAGCCATCGAATACGTCAAGACCCAAGTCCTCGGCATGCCTCCTACACCGCCCGAGCCCGCGTCGGCCTCCTACGGCGGCGGCGCTGGCGCCTCTCAGACTGCGCAGTCCTATACCCAATCCCTCCTCGCCCGGTTCAACGTACCGTCTGCTCGCCCGGGTGGCGCTAACAACGCCGCGGGTGGCGCCCTTGGAACCGACTTCTATAGCTTTCTATCCTCGGCGGTGACTGCCGCCAGCAACGCTTACTCGAACAAGGGTTCCGGCACCCAATTCGACCGCGACGTCACCCCCACCCCGGGCACCGGAGGCGGAGCTTCCAGCCTCGTTCCCGAGAGCATTCGCGGCGTGGACGCCCGCATCTCCTTCATCGAAGCCCAGCGCGAACGTCTTAACACGGTCCTCAACGCGCTCGACCGCGAGGCATCTCAACTCCAGAACAACCAGCAGCAGAGCGGTGTGCCGGGCTTCAGCTTCGACGGCGCCGATGTTGGACTCACTTCAAGTGCTGGCAACCCTTGGCAAGGTTCAAGCTCCCGCAGCGGTAAGAACTCGCGCTCCATGAGCGAGCACAGCAGTGTGAGTGGGGGTGGGCTGAGCCGCAACCGGTCCGAGGCGGACTTTGAGAAGCTCGAGGCCGAGAGCGGCGAGGAGGAGATTATGGATGACAACGGGAGGAGGATGAGGCATAGGCCGGCGCCGAATGCTCAGGGAAGCAGCGGTTGGTTCGGTTGGGGTGCTGGTGGTTCCGATGACGCTGCTGCTGCTAAGAGCACTGGGGTTGATAAGTAGGCGACGATGACAACGACGGCATCTGGTATGCTGGTTTTCGCTACGACCTTCAAGTCAAGTGTGCATAAAACTGCCGGGACAAGGAGTTACGTATGGTAATCCCGGGTTACAACGTCAGGTTTACGACTGGACGTTGGAGGTTGCCTGACGAAAGCTTGGAAACGGAGTTGGGCCTCAGAATTTACTGTACACGCAGTAGGCAAGGCTCTCGGTGTACCAGATATGAGAACGCCATCCAAGCCATCCACCAACTTCACAACTGATCCCGCTTGGGACAGGCCCGCTTTCATTAGAGGTTAACCCTCGTTCCCATGTGAACTTTGTCTTTTGCTCCTTGTTGCCTGTTGGCAGTCATGTTTGCTCAGTGCCATCGTGTGTATTTGGGCCCTTATACGTACCAGTGACACACGGGCTGAAGTCCTGCGATCTGCATAGCGAAATATCAGTGTGCGAGACATGTACTTGAGGGTTTAAAGTACACACTCAAAGCGCCGAGGAAGTGCAGGGTAGGCTAGTGGTTGTAGTGTAGACGGTAGTCGAGTAGCTCCATTCGTTGCGCTCTACCGTATGTCACAGACAATCAAGAACGGAAGCTCCGAACAGAAATCCGTATAAGCTGCCTTTTAACATTCAGCGGCTGAAGTGCAAAGCAAACTTCCCTCCATCGTCAGACCAATCCAGTGATGCGAAAACTAAAAGCAGGTACTCTAAGGGTATCTTTCTATGAGTTTAGAGGGTAATGAAAATGCAGAGACGAAACATCGCTAATCGCCAGCTCGCCCGAGGTCTAACAACTCTATGTACACCATGCATACGCACCTATGTCCAGGTTGACTCTCATGACTTTCACTCCACATCATCCTCGGCAATCGCAGCTCCCTCCGGGGGCGTGAAGAGCTCGGTCCCATTTTGGGACTTCCAAGCGTTGGCGACATACTTTGTATGACTACCCCGGGCACAGAGCTCGCCCTTTTGGTTGCGGAAAGTGACGGTGGTGTAGGCAAGAGTCTTGCCCACTGTTTGGTTGTTGATAATGGATGTTAGTTTTGTCAATAATTTATGTTGCTGATGCAAGGGGCAGGAAGAAAGACTTACTCTTGTCACACACAGCGGTCCCGGAAATCTTGTCGCCGACTTTCCCACCGCTACTAAGGTAGGTAACTGGGTTTTTTCATATACATGTTAGTATTGTGTGTTTGCGGAAAGCAGCACATAACTGGGCTGGAATTCGTTTGTCCGAGTAGGCATGAAGTCTCATGGAAGGAAGGAACATACCGTTGAGATCCGTCGACACACCGGTGGCGTAAAGTCCTTTCGAGGCTACGGCCAGAGAACCACCAAGGTCGACCATACTGGCGATGGTTCCACCGTGGATGATCTTCAGACGGTTGGTGTGGTCTTTGGTAATGTCGAGTTCAAAGTCGACCTTGCCTTCGGTGGCACCGGTTACCCGGAGCTGGTTTGGTCATGTCAGTTACATGCTCGTTGTATCCATGCAATTCTGCCGTGTCTTTTGCCTACATGAGGTCCGAGAAGCCTGCAAAGTTTGGTCAGTCTTATGTCTTTGGTTGATCTCTTTGAAAAACCATGGTGATGTGTCATCACTCACCTCGGCTCAAGGCCGGACTCGGCCATGAACGACTTCAGGACCTAAGTAACATGCTGTAAGCAACCGAGTCAATGCAGCTGTGAAATGAGTCCCTGAACTAACCGATCTCACGAATCTCGCTGGTGGAAGCTTGGGTGCCATTTTCTGTTGCTGTTGACCTCGAAATAGGAGACGATGGAGGAGCAGGTGTGCTTCAGATGCGTGGACGTGGGGACGGAACACTGCTGTGAACGCCGGAAATCACCACCCGGGACAGGCGCTGTTACAGTGGCTTTAGGAGCCGACTGGCCGACCCGGGGGACGGTGGACAAATGCCGGACAGTGGAACGGTGACGTCGTAACAGGGAATGGTAGTGCCTGCCACGAGGGTCCAAAGTCCCCACTTATGCTTGGTGACCACCTGCAGGGGCGCCACGGGGCAGGCAATCGACGCGTAGGTACCTACAGCGCAGCAGTGATCATCAGCAGCCTTCAAGGTCTTCTTTTGCACCTCACTTATGCCTTTCACCCACAAATACCACCGGCTACACCATTATCGCTCGATTCACTGGTCACCGAATAACCGTATACTCGATTCATCATAAAGTACATTTCCGTCGGAATAATACTTTCCACCTACAAGTTGGATTTGGTGTCCATATCTGCCAGCAGAAGTCGACCAGTAGCATTACATCGTGATCCTCTCGACGAGCCATCTGGACTTGACGACATTCGAAGCACTACGTTTACCGCATATTCGACTTGACCTTTCACATTGCCAGTCACACAGCGATAACGAATCTCTATTAGCGGCCCGTTGTGCCCGCCCGTCTACCCACCATGTCACTCGGCGGGCAACAGCTCCTCGAGTACTTGGAGAAGCTGCCAGGTACAGCTTTTAGGAGACTGTACCAGTCACCTGCGACAGCTTTGGCCATCTTCCGCCGTATGCTGTCTTATCATGGTATGCGATTGTTCCTCGCCTCAGATACCGAGGCCTTGGACACCGAATCTCTAGCCATGTAGCTAACTCCTTTGCCCTTCGATAGCCAAGGTTATTGTCCGAGGTCTACTGTACATGCCCGACCCATTCCCGTTAACCTCCCTTGACATATGGTTCCCTCCAGAGGGCGGCGGAAAGATACATCGCGATCGCACCATTGCCGCTCTCCGATCCCTCCACATCCTACAGGTCTCACCACCAAGCAAGGACCGAACCCAAGAAATCCAAATCACGACGAGCTTCAAGAAAGGCCTACAACTAGCCTTCGAAGGCGGCGGCGAAGATGGCAGCTTTGGCGTCCCTAGTTCTCTCCCCGTCGATCCCTCCATTGACATCGCCTACCTCGATAAGTACGCTCGGAAGAAGTGGGACGACATCCTCCACTACGTTGTCAACAGTCTTGGGGTCCACGGCAGCTCAGAAGGGGTCAGCGGACCCAAGGCCAGTGTGAAGGAACTGCTCTTGGCCGGACGCCTCGTCGAACGACGTCCCGACACCCGTACAGGAATCGGAATTACGCAAGCCGGTTTCACCTTCCTTCTCCAGGAGTCCAACGCTCAAGTATGGACGCTCCTCCTCCTCTGGCTCGAAGCAGCCGACCACGCGGCCGACTCGGGCATGGACAGCATTGACATGCTCTCCTTCCTCTTTATGCTCAGCTCGCTTGAGCTCGGAACTGCCTACGATACCTCGGCCCTGACCGAGACGCGACGGAATATGCTTCCCTCGCTCGTCGACTTTGGGCTCATCTACTTCCCGCGCGACACGCGCCAGTTTTTCCCTACCCGCCTGGCCACCACACTGACCAGCACCGCCTCGGCCCTGCGCACCGTCTCCTCGGCTTTCACGGCCGCGACCGCCAACCCCTCGGGTGAACCGGGCACCACGACCAGCACCAGCGGCGGCCCCGCCGCCACCCCCGACAAAACACAGACAGCAGCCAAGGGCATCATCATCGAGACCAACTATCGCATCTACGCCTACACCACCTCCCCGCTACAAATTGCCGTCCTGGCTCTCTTCTGCCAGCTCAACATGCGTTTCCCCAACATGGTCTCGGGCCGCCTAACCCGCGACTCCATCCGCCAAGCGATTGGCTTCGGCATCACCGCCGACCAAATCATCTCCTACCTACACGCGCATGCTCATCAACAAATGGTGCGCGAAGCCACGGTCACGGGTAAACCGGTGCTTCCCCCGACGGTGGTGGACCAGATTCGACTTTGGCAGCTGGAGAACGAAAGGATGCAAACCACGGCGGGATTCTTGTTCAAGGACTTTGAGAGCACGGAGGAGTACGCGGCGCTGAGCAGGTATGCGGAGGAGATTGGCGTACTGGTGTGGAAGAATGATAAGAGGCAGCTCTTCTTTGCCAGCAAGCATGAACAGTTGAGGGATTATCTGAAGAGTCGGAAGAAGGGGGAGTAAGGGGCGGGTATGTAAGGGAGGGTGATTTGGATTCGGGGGTGGTTCAGTATGGTCGGAATGAACCCAAGTAGGTACCTCTTGTGGGTGGATGGGTAGGCGATGGGGTCTTGCATCGTAAAACTTTTACATCTGTGGGCAGGGCAGGATCAACATTTGCATTGAAAAAAAGGGAGTTTTGGCTTGGATGGGTGGGTTGGCTTCACGCGATTACCGCAGCTTATACTGTGAACAGGAGTTGGGGATAAAAAGGGGTATGTTCAAAATACGAGGTAATGGTCTGGAGGTAGGAACGACCTGCTTGAAAACAATGAATTCAACTTCATCATACACATACAAACTTGACTTTGGCAATGGATTGGGAACGGCGCTTCAAGTTATGTGGATATGTGTTAGACGAAACCGAAGAGGTTTGAAAAGGGTGCTCGAACAAATCAGCCTGCTCACTGTGTTACACATCTTTGTGATATACACCTATTAATACGCCATCCTAGCCAACAGGAGCTCAATCACAGGATTATTGGCGAGGGACTGATCATACTCATCTGTGATTGCACTAGGATCGAAACTCGAAGTTTGATCATCAAGATATGTCATTACAAGACTGTAACTAACATTCATTGGCGTTACCATCATGAGGTTCAAAGCATAAATTAATGCCAGAAATGCCCTCTACAACGCCGGACCTTTGCCTCTTACCCTGGGTATGTGAAGCGGTAAGATGAGGTCGGAAACCGAGAAAATACTCTCTAGAGAAGTCCGGCCATGCCTGTTACTATGGATATCTAAAGCGAAATGATTATGCCCTTGTCCTGTACTCTCTTCCCTCACTCTAAAAGGAAACCGTAATGCGTGCTCTGTCTTTCAAGCCAATAAGGCACATGCAATAATAGTACAGCTCATAAATCCGTTCCATTGTCCATTCATCGCTGAGAACATCCATCATCTGCAAATAAACGTTGACGTATGCTCACGCAAGGCTCATACGATGTTGGTACCGTTCCTTCCTGACCTCGTTGTCTGCTTCAACTCCGCGAACCGTCCCGTGTCTCTCAAGTCGATGACCATACGAGCTCGGCTCCATGCTATCAACCTTCATACTGGCTGATCTTCCATGGGTAAACACTCTCCTTGGCACCTGAAGCAGTGATCGCTCCGTCTTCGAGGGCCGGACCTCACTTTGAGGTTGTCCAAGGTCCACATTGAGGCCAGTCGTGATGCTACCTCCACCTGAACCAGCAGGCAGAGACCCCCTGCTCCGTCGACTCCCAAACAAACTCCTGCCAAAGACGCTGTTTTTGAAGCCACGTGGACCATGCATGGTACCACCCTTTGGGAGCAGCACCTCTCGCTGTGTTCTTCTCGCATAGTCTTGTTGCCAAGCATACAGCGAGTTGCGTGCCTCATCCGTGACACAGCATGCCTCGAGATGAACGAAAACGCGACGACATCTGTTGTCGTCATCCGTAAGAGCAGTCGCATCCGCAACTGTCACTCTTCGAAGCATGGCTTCCCTCTCCTTCTGTGCTTTCGCCCGGGATTCGCTCATAATCCTGTTCGGACGGTCGGTGTTCTTCATCCGAAAGCTCATTGACGAGCGGTTATTGTAGTCCGTCGGTGGGTGAACATGAATGACGTTCGAAGACTCGGAGAATGAAAGTTCCGGCAAGGGCCGTCGGGGTAGGACCCTTGAAGACTCGGATACGGGAGGTTCCGGCAGGGGCCGCCGAGGCAGAATCCTCGAGGATTCAGACCTAGGGATGACGCGAGTAGGTATCATAGAAGGGGAGGGAACCTTTGGATTGTACGTCTCCTCGTGCTGCACTGTCTTATATACTGCAGGATTCCGTTCACTGACGTAGGTGCTAGACTTTCTCGAACTCTGCAGAATAGCATCAGTGGTGGCTGAATGGGGTATGCATCTTATATAATGAGGTATGTGTCTATTCTCAGTCGTCTTAAGTCCGAGTTGGTCAGCATTGGGGTGCATCATTGCAGGAGTGTAGAAGCTGAGATCCCGAATGGGCACGATACGGCTAGAGGCGTATACGGAGGTAGAAGGGTTGTTGAATGCCGATGCAGGGGGCGAGGGGGTGGTTGACGAGTTGTTAAGATCACCAGACGTCGTGGACAGGAATGTATGCGCCTCAATAATCAAATTGAGGTTACGAGGTCCTAGTATCTCGTTGTGGAACCGGTCATGGAGAGACGTAAAGCGCCCAGCCCAATACGCCGATGGCATTGCCGTTGAGACAAACCGGGGATTGATCGGAAGCGGTGGCGGTGCTTCTTCACATGTATGCATAGGCTCCGTAGCTTCGGTTGAAGGGCATACGTCGTGGTCCATTGCTTTCCTGCCAAAGCGAGAGGATAGTGAGGACCGGGAACTCTTTGCTGTTGCAGTTGATGACGAGTTCTGGAGATCCTGGGGACTTGCCGTTGAATGACTGAGTAACGAACTGCGGGAGAAGGTATGGGTAAGATTTGACAAAACATTGAAAGTCCGTGATTTAGAAATGCCTTGCTTTGTTGATGCTGGAGTAGTGCTTTCTTCCTGAATCCGCTCGGGTGGTTTGTTCTCATTGTTCTGTTGCTTCACCCGGCCTGTGAAAGACGGGATACGTGTGGTACATCCCACGTTGCTGTCGTCGTCAGACGAGTGAATCACACCCTTTGTCCTCAGTGGCTGTCCGTCATGGAGATCTAGCCCGGATGTGTCGCTGGTATCAGCCTTTACTGTTGATGGCAGCTGTTCAACTTTGGGTGGTCTGTAAAGCGACCAGCGGGACCCTCGTCTCTTCGGAGTGCTGTTTTGAATGTTATGCTCCATTTCAGAAGTTTTAGAGCCCAGATAAGGCCCTTGATGCATTGAATTCTTGCTAGGAGGGTCAACTTCTTGATGATGAGGAGCAGTATGTTGTAGCACTGGTTTGCGAACAAGAGCCAAACTCCGACGACCTCGAACAAAGCGCAAAGAACAAACAGGCCCGTGCGCTTCACAAACAAAAGCGGTACTAAGGTTGAGAAGAGCACAAGACGAGATGTTCCCCTAATCACGGCGTTGAATGTGAGAAGTAGGACCCAAGTGACTTGGACGATTGAGGTTTCGTTGCTGTGAACGTCGTCGTTGTGAATGGTGTTGTTTTGGATGTTGTCTTCTTGGGACTTTGGTACGGAAGGTCGAAATCCTTCGCTGTATCGTACGGTCTGTTCCCTATAATGGTCCTTCTCTGCGAGCTCGCTGCCCTCAAGATGTGCGAGACAATCGTCTGCCTTGGCGGCAACGGAAACAAAATGGATGGGGGGACCTGATGTTGACAAGGGTAGTCCCTTCAGCTTTGGCAAATTGCGATATGCTTCGCCGCGAGCGTTGCATATAGTCTCGAAGTTGGGTGGAGGGTTGATTGAAGACCAGACAAAGTAATTGTCTGCTTCCGCCTTGGGGGATTCGACTTTGACCGCGCCTTTTGCTGGGAAGCGCGAGCAGTTGTTATGACCCAAGAGAACTAGCTCCGTGCCGTCTGATTCTTCGCTGTCTGACTCCTCGAAACGAGTGCTCGCAATCCAAGGCGACGCGAGGAGGGGTGAAGCGTAGCGCAGTGGGGTGCCAGACTCGATCTCCCCAGTGCTTGAGGATAATCTCCTGCTCATGGCGGCCAGGTTAGCAACGGAGAACTGACCAGAACGTGAACCGCAACTCTTCTGCAATCCCTTGATGTTGGGTACTGTATCGTCCAAGTGAAGTCTGAAAGGAAGATCCAGACAAGGTGATCAAGTTTCGTTCAGGTTGACACTCGAGAACAAGAGAGACGATCAAGGGAGACGAAATTATCCCAGTCCGGGACAAGGGAGGGGTCGAGTTAATACTCGATCCTTGTGTAGAACGTACCTTCTTTGGCGCTTAGACAGAAAAGATATCCAGATCAGTACAGGTACGAACCGCAATCAACGTCGAAATCGTGAAGCGAAGGTTGCGGGTGCAGAGTGATTTGTGTTGAGGAGGGGAATGGAAAGCTGCAGGATAGTTGCGAGCCTGTCGTGCAAGAAAGCGGGGGAAGGAAGGGTAAACGGCGGAGACAGAGAGTGTAAAAAATGGAAGTCAACTCAAGACCTCGAGGGAGTCGAGACCGGTGGCAGTGAAGGGTAATAGTTGGACCTGACGGAATCTTGAAGAACGCGCCATGACCTGACGGTAGCGATAAGGTGCGCGCAAACCTGGAACTCCGGAGCTTCGGCTGGAATCCAGTTGTTGCTTGGGACGAAAGGAGCTGTGTGATCGGATATATAGAAAGGGAAGGCACGGCCACTATACCTGAGCTTTCCACCTCAGACGAGCTCGAGTTGTGAATGGGAAGCGTATCTTATCCGTGAAAAGCTTTTGGCAGGAGCAAGAGCGAAATCGCTTCCTGAGTCGCGGTTTGGTGTTTGCGTGTTGTGCCTTCCCTTCCAGTGTCGCACACACAGCCGTCATGATTTGCCCGGCGAGAAATTCAGAACAAAAGAAGTAGCAACGATAAAGCAGAAAATAGACTGGGATCTGATAGGCGTTAACCCATCGATATCCTGACCAAGGGTCGAGACAGAAATGAAGGCTGGTGGGAGCTACGCAAAGTAACTCGAAATCAAATTCTTCCAACCGTAATGCAACTGAACAACCGCTATTCGAATCCAGTGACCATGATATCGAAAAAAACACCACCCCTCATTGCTGATAGAAACTTCCACTCCTGGATGATGGACTACAACAAACGCTTGCGCCTAACTCCTGATCTCTGGTTCGCCATCCGTTGCTTCTTCCCACCCTTCAATCTGGAATTTGAACGTTTCGTCCCCGGCGCCTCGGGGAATCGGGTTGCCATGGGCATCGAACAATGCACGTTCCCTGTACGTGACATTTCCATCCCAATCCACGAGGATGATGGTCTGCCGCTGCGTGCCGTAGAGACCAGTTTGGAAGCCGTACGGTTGGTTGTCTGGGCGGTTGACCGTTGTCAACGCCTCTGAAGCACAGTCGTGAGGACCCTTTTCCTTGATTGTCCCCCGTTGACGGGCTGCCTCCATCTCCGCTTGATGCTGCTTGCCGCCAAAAGCGGGGATGAAGATGGAATTCTTGAGCAGCGGAATGCCCTCCTCGAGATCGATACAGCGGTCCACAGGGAAGTTGGTGGTATTCAGGACCTTGTAAAGTTCTTCTACTAGCACATCCTCACTGACGTCGTCACTTGAGGTAGCTGCGATGACTTGCTTCAGCTTTTCCCTTCCGTCCCGGACCTTGGGCCAGGTTAACTCGTTAACCTCCTCGCTCGGGTCAAGGAAGATGGCATTGCTGAGTCCGTATGTGCGATCCCGGTCCCCGCAGATCCATGGCACTCTATCGATATGTTCGGCTCTGTTGGAGATAATGGCCAGGGGCTCGATGGCCTTCTCGGCTTTCTTCTTTCGAAGCTTTCCGCAAACGAGGGAGAACCCGCCAATATCCCTGGCCTCGCCGCTCCCAACCATCCGGCTGACAAAGTCCTGCACCGGCTCATCGGGATGCGCCGCTAGCCAAGCAGTCACCATACCCCCGCGGCTGCGCTTTCCAGCTATGGGATGTGCCGCGTCGTGAGTGTTCGTTTCGCGGTAGTTCGTAAGCACAGCCATGTGGCCGCCCTTGGTCATGCCGAGCCATGTTCCATGCTCAGCTCGTGCCAAATCCCGGCTGGAAATGACCTCGACTTTTCGGCAGTCGTACTCATGTTTATCGGTGGAGGGCGATTCTGACAGTGCAGTCCACCAGTGAGGTTTGCTAGTTGGCCGAAGGATGTATTCATCTCGATTGTCGATGACAATGAGCGCGTATTTTGGGTGCGCGGTTGTTAGCAAAACGATACACATTTTTGGTGGATTTTTTTGGTTTTTTTTTTGGACGTCTTGATCAGATCGATCGCTTTCTCGGGAAGTTTAGGTTGAGATGGGCTGACTCAAAGCGAGCTATAGCTGGGTTGCTGGGGTCAGCTCCCGGACGATGACGAATGTTCTGATGATCGATTTCGGGCGAATATACAAGGTTAGGCCTTTCAAAAGTGACTGAAGACACTTGACCAAAAATGTGGTCGACCTGGTCTGGTGTATTGATGGGTGACCTAGAAATATCCAGGGGCACGGGTCATGTTGAGACAACGAGCGACATGACCAACCTTGATGGTTGTGGTCAACCGTTTTGGTTTAAGTACCTGATCTAACTTCTTCCCAGGCCGAGCCACCATGTGTCAATCTACTGTAGGCGACGCCTGGTAGCAAACCGACAACGGCAACAACGGCAGGGAAGAAGATCCTATGGAATGGGCTGAACGAAGTGCAAAAGGGCAGTGCTCTATACTACAACCCTATATTTTCATTGGGAAGGGTGGACGATAACATTCTGGATGGTCTGGGTCTGGGCATTAGTGATGGCCTGTCAAGCGGCCAATGATGATGACATGCTGGAGTCAGGCCACCAAATACATCATGCACTTCATGCGGCTGCCAAAGTCTAACCTCGGTTTGCCTGTTTCCGCATGTCTATGATAAAGATCATCTTGATCTTGGTGTTTGGGGAATGGTTGCAACTCTCTGAATGGGGAAGAGTACTGATATACGGCGCAGTAGTATCTATGCCATTCGTAGGATTCGGCCTATGGATGTCCCAACGGTGAGATATGGGAGCGGCGAATGGCGAGAAGGATGGGGAGTCAGGTAGGATATTGGAACACTTCATGAACATTGGTAGAAACCCTGGAATGAAGACCTCTGAGGTGATACCGTTGAGCCGCGCAAACTGGACGGTTCCTGGTCGGAGTCACCTCTGTTATGGATCCCAAATTCCCAGATCTTGGAACAGGAGCTCATATGTTGGTGAGCATTCGCCGCAAGAACTACGATATGTGTCATTCATTAAAGATTACTTCACTTGGAGGGAAAAAGGCCAAGAGGCGGTCATCAACTTGCGTGACACCGTGGCCCCCAAGTTGAACGAATTGACTCTTGTCTGTTGGTGAATATTTGACAAACCGAATGAGTCCAACGAACGGAAACTTCCCCGCTGGAGAATCCCCAGCCTGTGGACGGGGCCGCACGACGGTCTCGACGCATCAAGCCAAGGGGATCAGTCAATTCCTTCAGCAGCACGAGCCACGGACATGGCGACTGAACGTAACAGCGCAGTTGGCCTTTGCCAGGTGCCAGCCCCACTTCCATAGGCCGTTCAGGTCCTCCTACCTTCAGTGGCGTCGTCTTGGCAGTTGGCTTAGAGCACAGACCATCGGACACCACCAGCCAGTGAACTGCCGAGCAGAATGTGGGGTGAATCTTTGCTGGGGACAGCCCGGTCGCGGTGCGGACTGCCAGCGTAGAATTTGTTTGTGGACCTGAACGCAAAGAGCACAGAATGCTACAGTAATGTGCCCTGTTAATGCTAAGCCCCCTTAATGCAAAAAGCCCCCCTTTTGCTAAAGATTTCGGCTGCCCGCATTCCCTCTGGTGGTGAAGACTGCTAACTGCTAATTGCAATACTGACGGGGGGGATTTGCATTAACAGGGATCTGATTTAGGTGGGCAGGACGAATAGCGGCGGTGCGAGAGGGTCGAAGTAACCCACCTTTAGGGTAGTCGACCCGTAATCTAGTAGCCCCACAGCATATATTGGTCTGTGCACTAGTACCATCCTTTGCAAAAGCCCCCCTTTTGCAAAGAAATCTGGCTGCCGGCATTAGTTGCATTAACAGGGCACATTACTGTACGAAGGACGGCAAGTGTGACTCTTCTGTGTGCCTCGCAGCGTGTGCTGACCAATGCCCTTGCTCTGCCCCTGATTTGAGCTCTGGGACAGTCCCGTCGTGCAAGTCGAAGACCAGCCCAAGTACACGACATACTAGCAGCTGGAGACAATGACGACCTGCTCGAGTCTGCTTTCCAATTGACTCTTGCGAGTTTCGGAGCCAGCTCAACCGAAGTGACGAGATGCTGTCCGAAACGCCAAGCCCTTCTTCTACACTAAGTCCGTAATACGGGAAGTCCACAGTCGGCAGCCGTAGCATCCTGGCAGCGCTCTTGCCTGCAAAAGTCGGGATTAAATGTAGCCATCAAATCTGGGGTTGTCAGTGCTACAAGACTGCAGTGCCCGTCAAAGGCGAATTGGCTGAATGTGCGAGCACTATATCCGGCCACGCTTATGTGGCTTGAACCGACACGTCTGCACGCGTTGTTGCTGCGGTTAGTTTGCGTCTCGAAATGGGCTTTGTACGTAGTGTATGTGGATTCGGGGGGGTCTCCCACTGGTTGATCGCTCCAGCCAGCGGAGCAACAAAACGGGATTCTGATGTGTGACGTGATGAGCCCTCGCCGTCTCAAAGAAGTACGCCAATCACAAGAGCCGATTCCTATTCGGGCGGTCAGGATTCAGGACTCGTTTACACTAAGATTTGGCCGCCGCTGTCTTTTGTGCCACTGCGGGGTCGGGGGGCCATACCTGGTATGTACCAGACCGGTACTCCGTCGTAGTAGTGGCCTTTGCCGGATGCCCTGACCAAAAAAATCTCTTATTGACTCATATGAATCTGGTGCTGTCGTGCAGCCGCAAGGGTCCGCGAAAAGTTTAAAACCACAGCTATATCAGCGACATCGGGAAGCCA